TTTCTGTAGGCTGATTTGTTGAGACAAAATAATTAATTTCTCAAAAACTATTGCGAATATCGCAAAACGGTACAGGACTTTCTTGCTCACCTCAATCCGTTCTACGTTCTCACCAAGGGTCATCATGGGACTTCGGGACACCCTGTATAGTCATATTTAGTCAAATTTAAAAACATTTCTATCGATAAAAGAAAGTTCAGAGTAATCTATATATTGAACCATGTCATATAGTGAAACAGAGAGGGCGACACTATTTAAAGATAGCTTTGTATCTTAAAGGCTGATTCGGCTTAAGCTAGGTTAATGCTCGTTAACCTAGTTCCAATTCGTTATGTAGTTCAATGGATTTGCATGTCTTACCGGCTTTACGTTTTATTAATCGACTGATTTATTAGTGTCTGTTAACATTCCGGATTTTCGGGCTGCTTAAGCGACTCGAATGGTCGAGAGATTGGACATTAAACTTTCTAATTTCGAGTTAAGTTTCTTTCTCAGACTTTAGGCGCTTGATAAGTCGAATTCCCTAACACTACCGGTGTTTGGTAGGTGAAATTTCGTAGGAAATAATCCAAAGTATCCCAAAAAAGCACTGGTAACGTTGACTTTTCGACTGACTTCAATTCAATCTTTTTCAAGATGTATGACGATTCTTAGCTGGAACATGATATTTGCGGAGATTGCGAAATAATCACGATTTACGGTAAATATCAACACACAACCAAGGACTAGTCTTTCACTCCCTCCCTCTCTCTCTCTTTTATCTTGTAACTGTTAATTTATTATTCTCTTCGTTGATCACACATAAGAATAGAGATTTAAATAGAATTTAATTGGCAAAACAATCTTTGGTAGCTACGCGCAAGTATCTAACAACGGGATTAAATTAGAAAATAAATATGCGGGATCACGAGTGTTAACGCAGTAAAGTTGCAGCGGCGCCTAAGACGCTGCATAATTAAGATCGCCCCTTTGTATATATACACGTATACGCGACAACGTAGCGATGGCCTTTGTCACTTCAAGGTATGCCACACAGTGACCAGCTTCCTCGGGTTTTGCAGCACGGAGAACCAGTGCAACCTTTCCGTCGAACCCCTGACGCCTTTTCCAAGCGCCACTTTACCGATGAACACGTCAGCGGATTTCTTGAACGAGCTCACCGAATCCTCGCTGTCGCTCGCTTGATCGGTGCTGACATTGGCTGCTGATCCCTCCGGTAAGACCTAAGTACGTAAGCAATACAAGCGTGTAGGATGACCAATTGTCCCGAATTTTTGCTTATCACATAACGCAAAATAAATAATATAACGTTTTTATTAAATTTTTATCAAATTATTTCTATTTTTATTAAATTTTTATCAAATTATTTCAATTCTTATTTAATTCTTTTCTGTTATATATTATTTGTGTGAGATAACAGAAAGAAATGCATCTCGTGTTGATTCCTCATCGTTTCCATGTCCTGTTCTTTGATTGATGATTGTTCTTTGATTGATAATTGTTCTTTGATTTTATTCCAAGAATTTCATCAGTCTGATTTTAGATTAATAATTTATATTAATAAATAATAGAAGGCTATGTCCTATTGATTGTTTGATGTTGACATAATAACGAATAAACATTTTACTTATCCAGTAAACAGCAGTTGTCAGTAATATAACATAAATATTATAATTTACTACTCAGCAATATAAATCAGCTACTTAGCAATATAAATACAAGATAACACGAGTGTTATGCAACAGTTACATTGTTGAGTGGGAGATTGTAACGGTGATGTAATGTTATTAATTGGTGTTTACTGGTTTATCTACCTGTAATTTATTCAATCTACCTATTTTAAAAATTATTTATGTCAAGGTATACCTATATATGTATGATAACTAAGAAGAAACAGTGCATACTTTAATATTACAAAATATTTTGTAATCTAATGTACTAATGAAAAATATTGATTTTTTAAAGTCAACATCATGATTAAGGGTTGGTCACCTTAGATACAGAGTGGAATGTAATCTCAATGTATCATGTTGGCAAGGGATATCCTTATTCAAATCTCTATAAATTATTACGTATTACGTGAATAATGAATAAATTATGATTATTATAATGAATAAATTATTACATGCAAAGTGACGGACCCCTCTCTGGGGGATTCTCATAATGTTCGCAATTTACCTTGCTGCAGAGCACAACCAGGAATTGGACGGTGTCGAGTTGGGTGACTGCCAGATCGAAAGTCAAAGTCTCGTTGAATTCCGGCTGCGCGACGGCGCGCAGGAATTTAGTTTTCTTCTTCTTCATCTTCTTACCCGTCCTCCCGTTCAACATCAGTACTCTAACGTACGGGTCTACGGCCGAGAATAACGACGAATGAAACGAGTCGATCGATCAATCGAGGGATTCCTTTCGCGAGGCGAGGCGCGCAGATCGACGATCGATACTTACTAAATTCGTCCAGACTCGATACCGCCGTTGTGAATCTGATGTCGCGTAGCTTCATGATGTTGATAGTCAGTCTCTGCGCGGTGGGCAAGTAGCTTATGGCCAATAAGACGTTACCGAACTCCTGGAAAGTAGTTCAGTCGAGTGAATTATAAAAGAAATATCTCGGAGAGGTTTCTTCTGACGTCGTCCCGCAAAGAAATAATACTTTCCCTTTACTCTAATCAGTTGAACGTGCATTAAACAGTTACATTCTTTTAAATTATTTTAATTTCCAACTAATTTAGTACACTATTATTTACACATATTGTTGGGGTAAAAAAAGTAAAATAATTCGGTAAAAAAATCAATAAAATTATTAATTAGTACATTGAGACAAAAAATATCTAAGAAATAAAAGATATTTATTCGGTGAGTACTAATAACGTTGTTGTTTCATTATTACATTTCTAATTAAAGTATCTTTTTCTGTATCAAACGATCTCAGTGTAAACAAGAGCAATATTAACTCGTCATTGCGTTTGTTGTGTCATGTTACCTGATTCGAGGGTTTCATTCGGTAATTGAACATGTGAATCTCCGGACTGCAGAAGATCTTCTTCGTGTCTCTCAGTGACACCTTGAGCGAGCATAGCTCCGTGTGATTCGCGTATCTATCGTGGTCGTATGCCGCGATATCCAAGATCCATTCCTAAGAAGAGGAGAAAACGTACGGAGAGTCAGGGGGAAATGACGCTTCAGAGAGACGAATCACTCGGTTGCACCTGCGGCGAGCAATACCGCTTACAACGCGGTACGGCCGCCTGCATGTCAAATCGCATCCGTTGACGGCGGAGATGCGCCACTCTCTTAAATCAGATATTCCGCGCGCGCAACCGCGCCGCAAGAAAACATTGATTCGCACGTGACGAAATCGCTATTTCGATTCGAGACGATCGCGCCCGTGGTGTTTTCCGTCTCTGACTCACGTTTCTGTTGTTTTTATTTGCAGCGCAACAATATGCCGCGCGACAAGGAAGGACTCGGCTCACCTTGGCTTCCTGCGGCCTCACGTTTGCAATAACGAAAGTCTCCTTGTAAATCGGACTGGCGGTGTGCCTGATGCCTCTCGTCCTGAAACTATGCAACTTCTGCCGCTTCCTGTGGCTCCACGATTGCTTCACGATGTTCAACGCCACATAAGGTTCCACCGTGCAGTTGTATTGCTTCGGCGGAAGGCCGCACAGCGCCTGTAAAACACGGAGAACGCGTTTCCGTTGCGTGATTTCAGCCGATTCAGGATGTGTAGGTATCGCCTACACGTCGTTTATTTGCGCGATTGGAAGAAGGAAATCTCTTCTTCGTACGCGGGACTCGTACTCGCGCAGACGAAATGTATTGATCGCCAATGAACGCACCTCGATACCGATAACGAGCTTGCCGGTGATAACGTCATTGCAGGGCGGCAGATACTGCAGGCTCATTGTCAGCTCGGTTGGAAACTCTCTCGTCTTCTTGTCGTTCTTCTGCTTCTCCGTCTGGATCAAATTCTGCAAGTTTCGGAGATGAATTAGCGCGATCGAGCGTGAAGAAAGAAAGGGAGGAAGCGGACGTCAACGTCGACGCGGTAGTTACCAGCGTGGAAGAGCATTCCACGTTCTCGCATTGCGCGGTGGCAGAATTGAACGAGTCCCTCGGAGAGCCCGCATTCTCGCTGATGGTACCTATGCATGATATTCCGCCTTATTGACTGAAGAAGGACGATCTAGTCAATAAGCTCATAGATCGTCTGAATTATTAAGGGTTTGCGAAAGTGCGTCGGATCGCGCAAAATCTTATTAGCTCGATCAAGCATTTAAAGAAATAAAGACATTGCAAATTAGTCTTAATAGGCTCGGAGTTTTAGATCTGACTTTTCAATAGTAATTTAAACTTGGATTTAAGTTTAAATTCTATTCAAGCACATTATTAGAATAAAGCTGTTTTTAACTCTCAACTTAATTCTATTCCAATAATGTTTTGGCACAATTGTAATGATGTAATAAGTTCTGTTAAGTTTAAACTACTATTGAAAAGTCGGCTTTTAAAGAAATAAATTATCTAACTTAATCAAGTCAAACTAATTGTATTTTTGTTTCTCTCTCTCTTTCTCTCTCTCTTTCTGTCACTCACTCGCTCACTCACTCATTCACTTACACATTCATTCACTCACTTATTCACTCAAACAAGTATCTTTCATTAATAAAGATTAGTGCATAATGAGAGAATCAGATACTTGAATGTAGCAAAATATTTTGTTACTATTAATGATAAAAGAATATGTCTAATAGAATCCGACGAACTTTTACGCGTTTTGATATGACAGTGAAACGTTACCATTATCGTTCTCATAGAGACTGCCCAGTCTCCAGGACCTGTAGCTGACATCGCTCAGCTTCAGGTTCTTCTCCTGATTCTTCGCTCGCAGAGGTACATTCTTGGCCTCCTTCCCTGCACAAAATTCATTTCAAGGTTGTTGTACCCGTTTCGCGCGAGCTTTGAATCATAACAATGTTCGCGAACGATGACGGGGTTCCCGCGCGTCCTTCGAATTTGCACATTTTTTTTTCTCGGCCCGTTAAGACTCTTTACGGTATATTTGCATGAATTCTACGCTCGAATATATCCGTCGCGTTCTAAATGCTGATTGAGCAGTCGCCGGCGAGTTTCTCTGCGAAGGCTACGGTCGCTAACCGAACGCATCGTTGTGCAACGACCGCGTAACGCGCGCCGCGCGTTATATTTAACTCCTATAATTTCCGTCCTCTTTTCTTTTTAACTTCTTTTCATCTTTCGCACGCGTACGCGCTCTAGAGACGCGTATCGAGGTTTGAGGCGCGATGTAACGTTGTTTGGGCGTCTCCCCGCAACATTATCGGAAGGTTATACATTGTGTTTGTCGGTGGACGTGCCTAATTACGTAATGCGGCGAAGGAAGCGAAGGAAACGTCATTAGATGCATGTGTGTCATGCGACGTAAACGCAAAGGCGTAATCCGCGCGGCATGTCAGCGAAATTCCCTCGTTACCGGCGCATCCGTGACGAGCGTTGTGCTACGAGATGAAAAAGAAGTAATAGAATCGGTTCTGGATCGTAAGAGAGAGAGAGAGAGAGAGAGAGCAATCATTCCCGCCGCGCGATTTCGAGAGATTACCGCGGAGGCGCGCGAACGTTTCGCGTCCCTCAAGTACGATCAAGCACGCGCACGACGGGGATAGATAGACAGACAGACAGAGTTCGACTCGTGTACGTGACTGGAAATCGCGCGACGTGAAATCGACACGTCCACCACTTGGCATCGCTGCCAAGCCGTTCCGAACGGTGCAAAACAACGCGACCAAACTCGCACGATTGGCGTCAATTAACGGCGCTAATTGTCGACTTTTGTACTTTCAGCTCGAGCTCTGCCGAAGACCGCGCCAGTGCGAGAATAATTGCGTGCGCGTAAGCGCTTAATGTATACGGCGGAGCAATTAAAGCGGTAATGATGATCTTACTTCGTTTCCTGAAGCACTCGTAGCCGATGCAGCCGGGCGTGAGGAAGCAGGCGAACAGGAGCAGCGCGATCAAGATGAGTCCCGCTCCGATCACGATTATAACTAGCGGGCCCCACGGGCCGAACAGGTCGTCGTACAACATTCACTGGAATTACACGTTCAAGGTTACTACGGGCATGATCACGTGCACGTGGACGACGCGACGCGGACGACTGTTGGTCCGAGCGAGGGGTCCTCGTCGTGCCGGAAATACATCTTGACGAGAAAGATGCAAAGCGGATTGCACAACCACACCGTCCCGTAGGTCTTTGATCATTGCAAACTCGAGGAAAAGGAAGAAATCTTGAGGCTTGAGGCTTCAGTTTCGAGGAGGAGCTTGAAGGAGCAACTTGAAGGAAGAAGTGCAAGTAGCACAAAAAATCATGATAACGTCGAAATGATGAGAAAATTACTAAAAAACTCATTTTACAATCACGACTAGGTGATTTTCTCGTCATTTTGACGTCATCGTAAATTTCTGTTCCGCTTGGGAGAAGAAGGAGGAGAAAGGGTAGAAGAAGATTATGTAGGTGAAATTTGTACGAATTTCATTGCAAAATTTATATAATTGCGACATCGTCGAGAGATGACCAGCCAATCGTGTCGTGCAAGAAAATGCATGCTTTTCTTCTTCTTTTGTTCGTTCTTCTTCCTTCGTAATGCAAACGTCGATTACTCACGTCCGACGACTCGTCACGTCTCGCGGTCGTTCCCGCACATCTGCCGACGTGTTTCTTGCGACATAGGAGCGTGAAAAATAAGCCGTGTTAGCGTACACCGACCGGCGGTTGGTAGGAAACACTTGTGTCACCAACGTTCCTCCCGGACTCATTCCACGGCACCGTCCGCACGATATAGTCGGCAAAGCCGGATGATAACGAACGGCGTGCGATAAGAAAACATCGTCGTCAATCCGAATACGCGTCCATTTCCTTCGTTCGCCGCGTGGCCTCGATTGGAAAAGCGAAGGTCAAGGGAAGAAGAAGAAGAAGAGAACACAAACAGACGCCTGTCAATTAATACTGTTAGGGAATATCTCTGAGAGTACTTTTAAGAAAGAAGAGAGAAGAAGGGAGATGCGTTATACCTTAGCGCGAAATTCAATTTCGAATTGCAGCTGCTTGAACGCCACGCACATTGCTCGACAAATGCGGGCGTACGCCACGGAGCGTCGAGCTCGCGACAGGCATCAATTAATTCTCGCTCGCTAACGACACCGAAGTAATTCCGGCGCTTTGGTTTCCGCGTTATCACGAACCTGCCGCTGCGTAGATTCGCGTCGTCGCGAAGGTGATACACGTAGGAATAACAAGTTTATGCACGGCCAGGGACGAAGTCACGTTCGACGACGCGGGCGATCGTCGTAAATGTGAAAATCAGAAGCGATAATGTCTCGAGTTGTCGTTCGACAAGCGACTGTCTCGCGACTTAATAGTAAATACAGTCCGCGTATCGCGTCATGTACGTCTCTCTCTCTTTCAGTCTTTCTACAGTCTCTCAGTTGTTCAGGCTGTCTCTCTATTTCTCTCTTTTTTTTTCTTTTTTCCTTCCTCGTTGTGATGATCGCAAGTGATACACGCGCTGGGGCACCAATTTCGATAACGCCTCAATACCGACGTATCGAATGTACTGTCCGAAACGAAACCGCGTGACCTTCGCGAGGAAGGTGATAACACGTGTCTGCCAAAGTCACCGACGTCGTGGATGCACCGTGCGCATCGTTGACCTTGGTAGCGAGTTGGAAAATAACAACGTCGCATATAGAAAATTTCCCGGGATCAAATTAAGGTCCAGACCGATTTCCCAAAGTAATTATTGATTTTGCTTAGAAATATAATGTTTCAATAAGATTTTAAGCGGGGAGATCCAAAGTTATTTTTTCTGATCTCCATTTCGCGTTAGAATTGAATTGAAACATAGTGACTTTCTGAGTGATCCCATCGTTCAGCTTAATGCTCAAGGTGTTTCAAATTTTATTTCTTGATTTTTATTTTATCGAATACAATAGTTGATGCATAAAAATGGGATTGCCTATTTCTGATACCATAAAATATATCGACATTATCGACTGTGAAAAAGCGCGAAAATATATTATAATATTTCTGTTTCAATTCCAGGTAAAAAGACTGTGTTTAGATCAAGAATGGTTCTCTCAGTTGATGTGTTATAGCGGAATAAGCAATTTCCGTACGAATCTGGATATTCCAATCGGAATCTACGTCGCATCTGAGAGAATCTTGGGAAATCTCTATGCGTGAGGTGCCACGGGCGAATTTCTTTGAGGAACAAACGAAACGTCACCTGCCAAAGCCCGAGAAGAACGGTGGACGGACAATCACTGCCGAATCAGCGGATGACGAGTTGCCGTCTTACTTCTTCGCACCAGCGAGCACCGGCTCGACGTCCACTCGGCCACGTTGCAGTCCCATGACAGCAACAGCAGCAGCAACAACAGCAGGTGAACGCTGTAGCGTCCGCACTGGCGCGAATTCCCCGACCGCGCCTCCTCGGCCCGGTAGCCGATTAACCGAGCGGCCGATCGAACACGCTCGCTCGCGCCTCCGCGAGCGCAAACGCGGGGCCCGTAGGTAGCAACGCGACAGCGGCGAGGTGCGCTCGCGGGCCCGCTCCGGCGAACAAATGGCAAAACGTACGAAGAGGAGCGTCGCCGACGTCGGCGGCGTACATACGTACGCTGGGCTACTCTCTTCGTCCCCCCTGTGGACTTGTACGCCTCTGACTATCCTGCCGGTAGTTCGCGGGTAGATGAGTAATATCTCGATGCATTGGCGGCCTCGATCGGGGATCCTCCCGATCGCGGAGATCGCGGCCGCCGGTCACGTTGTTCGCGTTTCTTCGCGCCATGGATGACGGTTGCTCTCTGCGCTAATAACGCGCTCCCGCTCGCGTTCAATCACTGCGCTAATGAGGCGCGCTCATTCGCGCTTTGGAGGAAGTATGCGCGCACGCCTATGCAGTCGTCGTAGCGTGGCTTTAGAAGGACAGGAGTGTGGACGTGGTGTGCTCTGTCTATGTGTGTGAGTGTGTGTGTGTGTTATGTGTACAAGGAAACCACGTGTTATCGCTGATAGCACACAGAACACCGATACACATGCATACGTAATAAGCGCGCGTTCCGCAACGGAACGTGACTGTTAGGGAGCGTACAGACACGTTGACGAAAACTGCGAAGTGTCGCGGGATATTCGAGTGTCCTTTCCAGAACCAGATCCTTCGGTCGATTTGTGATCGATTTCTCTTCGCCGAAAACGTCGAGAGACTTTTGTGTCACGAGAGATTGACACGGAAGAACTTTGCGCCGATTGAAGCCCAAGGAAGCCGACGCATAATGAAACTGGGTGCTTTGGCTGGACTTCGATTTGATTTCGATGGAATTTTGATTGGGAAGACCTTATTGAAAAGATACATAATGCTACGAAAGCCGCAGTAAACGGCGACACTCCGTCGACGTTCTCCTTTAGAAAAGTGGACTTTGAATAGGTCAATGAAGCTGTCATCTCGAAAGGTCATCCAAAGAGAAACTCCTCCGGTTATTCATACAAACATTTATATAATTTTTTATCGGGCAATTGCATATATTTTATGTTCTATTCCACTTTATTGCATAGTTGAATAAGAATATATTTTTTCTTGACATATTTTTTCTCGTTCGATACTCATGCTGCAGACATACGTAAAAAATTTGACATAAGATTCTTCAAAGAGACCTTGTGATGCACGGAAAGAAAATCAGTTTATGCGATTGAATGGGAACAAGATGATAATTCAATAACGAGAAATGAATCTTGCTGTTGTCGTAACTGAAAACATTTGTTTAAACATTCAGCTGTATTAAAGCTTGGTTGCAGTTGCTGAGAAGAAATACTTGAAAATCTATTTGTGAAATATAAGGTTTATTTCTATGAAATAAAGTTTACTTCTGTGAATAAATTTTACGTCTCATGAATAAATTTTTTGTCAGTGCGACTGAACATTCAGTCGCACGAAGTACAACTAAACTTTCAGCATTAAAATACATGTACATATTCTGTATTGAAAGTTTAAATATTCATATTTAAAGGCTGAAAAAAAATAATGTTCAGAATTAGGTGCGTGTCCTTGCTTAAAATGTTGGATAGAAAATGATAGAATATTTGTCTATCATATTTTATGGTGATTTTGATTCACATACTTCACAACTCATTTACGAAATTTCGTAAGTGAATTCATATACTATATATTGTTTATGATTGATAAATATAAACTGATTATACCAACTTTCATATTCAACATGAAAAAGAGTAGTATCATAAAATATGATTAAACTACATAGATATTCTTTTCATTTTTATCTGACCATTTTGTAACCATCATTATAAGTAGAATTATTATGAAAGAATATTATAAGCAGTTTATTATAAAATAATAATAAATACATAATGCGATATTTACTATAATTCAGAAATATCAATGTATTATACAAACATCAATATTCAAGAAAATTGAAAAGAATAGTATCATAAAATATGATTAAAATATATAGAAAGTCTATATTGTACGGCTTTCGGTTTGCAGGATAAGTCGTATAAATCAATATATGAATTCTATCCATTTCAATCTTATCCAATAATTTTCTATCAAATATTTTAAGCAGGGGTCCCCTCGGAACTTAGTACTTCCACTTTACTTATTCTCAGCAGGCAACGAAAAATTCAGTTGTGGAAATGTTTTTTCCCGTGCACGAATAAGTAAGAATTTATACCATAATTGCGTTAGATTTTTGTTTCGGCCGTTTACGTTACCATTATTACTGTTCGATCGGGCCATGATAAACGGACACGCTACGGGGAAGTAAACGAACGGCATAACTAACTGTTATTGCGAAAGACGTCAATCCACGTTTTTGCGTGTGTGCGTGTGTGTGTACACGCTCCTTCGGCGAAGTACAGAGTTTCCCTTTCATTATGCGGCGGAACCGAGCGAGCGTATAATTCGTCTTGTCATTTCCCGGTGCTATTTTCTAACTGCGACTCTTTAAAACGCGCTCGCGTATGACATTCGCGGGACGCGAATTGCGATCTTCAAACGCTCTCCTTCGTCGTCGTGGATGATCGTCTATTGTCGATCATAGATCAGTGGCACGAGGCCGTCCAGCTTGTCGATGTCCTCGACGTAACGAATACATTAATGCTGTATAAATATTGTCCAAGATGCATCCAACTCAAGCGACGACGACGATAAGCAAAAGGAGATGAGTGCGAGGAGAAAACCGCGCAAAGAGAGAGTTGATTCATTTATTTCTAATATGTTTAACATTTATTTAAACATTACGGCTCCCATCATATGATCCAAGTTTCGTTCTGATTAGAAATCGCGTTAACCATATAAAATTGCGCGCGACTTAAAATTACATTTGCGATTCAAAACTGTGGTGCGATATATTGCATTCATTGCGATTCTTAAAAAAGATCGCATCGCGATACATAACTTCATAAATCGTACTGCATGAAAATATTCTTTGAAATGTCCATTATAAGAAAATACAAATTTTACTGTGAAAGAATAGTAAAAAATGAGAGTATAATGAAGTTAAATGATGTTTTCTTAAAAATATTATTTAATCTTATTATGGTTTCTGCACGAGGCAAAATGGAAGATATCTCTCTCTCTTACAAAACTTGTTTGAATTGTATAATATACATGACATTTTATATTCACAATCGTGATTCAGCTGAAAACTCACGTCTAACTCTAAATTCCAATCTCACCTGAGGTGAGTATCAAGTAACGACTATTAATACATACCTAAGACATGCAATATATAAAGATTGTTATTGCACGTTTAACTGATTATAATTATTTATTGACAACATCTTTCTCATAAAACAATAAAACTACATTTGTTACTTTTTTCTTATTAAAATATTAATGACAGTCAATATTAAATACAATCTTTGGTAATCTTCTGAAACATATATAGGTTCGTATTGATAGTCGTTATTTGAAACATGTTCCAAGTGAGATTTTCAGATTTATATTTAGAGTTGGATGAGAGTTTTTCAGTTAAAATACGCGATTACAGATGTATATATATATATATATATATATATATATATATATATATATATATATATAAATGTCATATTATAAATTTGAATTTATTTTTGAATAAAAATTTGAGTGTCTCGTATGAGACAAATTTCAAGTAACAACTGTTAACATAAATCATAAAAAGTATATATAAAAATTAATAATGCAACTTAACATTTTAAGGCTGTTATAAGAGCTATTATAATAGTATCCCATTATGCTTCTAAATGTATAAGTTTGGGTTAGTAATATAAAATATCATAGATTGGGCGTCGCGCGATATTTGCACAGATATTTAACTAAAATAACGAGTGATTTTGAGTTTCAGACACTATCTTGCGAAAAAAGATTTAATTGCGTATCACGTTGCGAAGAAAAAAGAATCGCAAGAGTTCGCGATATGTCGCAAAATCGCACCTCCCTATTTGCGCGTGAAAGAAAAAGAGGAAGAACAGAGAGAGTCCAACGTGGACGTATCGACACTTCTTTGGCCGCGAGTGACCTCGATCCCCAATCCGTCTCTCCTTTCACTTCAAAAGTACTAGCGAGCTTCCCTTCTCGCGCGCGCGGCCCGACGCCGAAGACACGCACGTACGCATTTTGCAACATGACAGAGTCAGTTCGCCCTAGAACGTCGATCGGCGAGCTGTTCCCCGAGAGTCCGGTCCACCTGGATCTCACTTTCTCACGTAAGTGCCGAGATGCAGAACGGACGCATTGGGAGCCGCGTGTCTCTTTGAAGTCTCGCGCGTTTCGCGCGTCGCCGCGCGAACTTTCCTCGCTTTCGAAATCGAGCCGATCTCGAGCGTTCTCGGCGACGCCCGTCTGAGGATCTCCGCGACACGCGAGTGGTGTTTTTCGTTGAGGATAGGTCTTCACAGTCACGGAATATTGGTAGTCGGTGAGTCGGAAACGCGACTTCGCGCTCTCCCGCTGGAGAACGTCGTCGCGCGAACGACGCGCGGTCTCGCTTTTTAGATTTCACTTTCGCGCCGGATCGCAGCCGGACTCCGGTGCACTTGGCCGGGATTATTAGTGTGAGTTACAAAGTAACAGCGCGAGTGAACGCGAAATGTGAGCATAACGACAACGGTGAGAGAGAGCTCGTGGCAAAGAACTTGGCAGGATGTATGTTCGCGGCCACGAAAAGGAAACAAGACGAAATATTACGGTGCAATAACCGTAATATTTCGTTGTGAAATATTTGAACAGCATAGTTGCATCACCCTAATTATCTATGCACGGAAAGAACGAACTCTAGTGCAACTGAACTTTCTGTTACTTTGGGGACCAGATGGATGAACTTGGTTGTGGAAACAGAAAGATCTTCGTAGGCGGTTTTTACTCATCCAACTGCTCTCAGTTATCTCAACCGAGTTTTAATGCAGCTAAACGTGTAGACAAATATTACCAGTCACAGTAAGAGAAATATTAATTCTCATCAGTGAGTTTTCCGTGTGGTCCCCATTCAGTTACACGAAATGACATTTTTTCGCGTGATCTGGTTGTAACAATCAGAAATCAGTTGGGACGACATTTACCATCGTTGAAGCGTCTAGATGTTATTGATGCAGTAGCTCAGCAACTATTTTGTGTTTGCAGCGAGCACACAATTCGTTGTTCCGTATTTTATTATTGAATCTGCTTGGCACAATCAGATTTATATGTGGGCCAACTATACTGTTTTTTCCGTGTACCGTTAGCATATCTCAGGTCTGGGTTTCCGTCGAATTTCTCCATGTTAGGGCCGTGACATACAGAAGAAACGTGAGCAGTAAGACTCAATCAGTAAGAAAATTCAATCACAATCGATTCTTGGACCGTAAGAAGAATCATCGACTATTGGTGAATTAGCTTATTGTTTAAGTTTTACCATTTCTCATTATTCCCGGCCTTAATATGTCGAAACGGTTAGACCAGACCTCGACCAAATCTCATTGACCATCACTTTAATTTCCATTTGTTGTTCGATTGCAGAACACTCGTGGGAGTCATGCTCCTGTTGGACACATAAGCGATCGTTGGACAGGCTGAGATTTCCCTTTCGACGATGACGACGATCGTGAGAACCTCGATCACGTCGCTTCTGCTTCTACTGGTTTTTTATGACCGTGAGTGTCGTTCCTTTCGCGTGTTGTGTTCTTTACTCGTCTGAAACGAGAGCAAGAAGATCGTGAAATAAGAATTCTCGGTCAAGAAGCAAACAATGTGTCGTCAAGATGAAATTCTTGATGAGAAAATTCGATAAGGAGATTCATAAAAATATACACAAATTTCACTGAAATACTGTACGATTTTATGTGATTTTATCATTCGTACAGGAAATTTCAATTTCTCACATTTTGGCTTGTATAAAAAAGTTATAAAATTTTTTCCTTCTAAATCATAACTTACTTATAATGTTTAAAGATTGCACTAAACGATTAAATATTTATCTAATACACATATCTTTCTATAGAATTTTATGACCTCTTTTTTAGTAAAACACGATTTAATTACATAGACTTTTCTTATGTTATGTTATTCTATTAAATCTTTTAAATAGAGATCTTATCGAGGTTCGCTTCGAACGATTTACGCGATCCCTTTCGCGAATTACAATTACAATGCATGTTCTGCCATTACCGAATTTTAGAATTAGATCGAGAATTATAGATTGCATGCGCATGTAGTTGTGTGCACGTGATGCTCATATCATATCATATGAATACACGTCGAAACTTCGCAGACGCGACGGGTCTAATCATACCGGAAGAGCTGCCGACGATACTTTCTCTCATATACTCGAACATCCCGCCGATCAAGAAGGGAACCGACTCTAGACTCGGCGTGGGTTTCCGTTTGGGCGAGCACGCTGATTTGCAGATTCTCATCGAGCTAGGTCCGCAGACCGAGACGGATCCCATAGGTACCGCCAATTCCAAGAGGCGGAGAGATGTAAGCATTCTCATTTTTATGCGTTTATCGAAAGCGCTACTCTCGCCATGACTCATACGAGAAGAAATTTAAAGAGACAGAGAAAACCAATGCGCAGATTTGGCCGCGCGGTTTTTGATACAAATATTCAAATTATTTCATTCAAACTTTTGTCGCAATATTTAAAGAATATTAAAGGAAATCAAGATAAATGTATAATTAATTGAAATTCACCGCGACCAGGTCTCATTAACCTTTCCTTTCTCGCAATCAGCAGTGTACTTAAAAGTCTCGTTTATATAGTTCATGAAAAGAAGAAACTCTTTATGTATTTTTCCGAACAGGCGATGTTAACTGCCGCGATGAAAGGAGAATTGGGACCGCTCACGCAAGCAGTAGTCAAGTACCAAATGGAGCGTAAAATCCAAAGCGCAATGAAGAAACTTCAGGAGGAGCAGCTCAAGAAGGTTCAAACTGCAAATAAGACGAGTGATCAGGATGTAAGTTTGACTCTGGGATGTTTCTAGTAGCACAGTTCATTGGCGTTATATTGGCATACTTTGGGCCGATATGTAGCCAATATTGGTTATGAATAAAATGTGAATAAATTGCCAATATTGATATACATTGGACGTACGTTGGGCTAATATAGTTCAATATGTAGCCAATATTGGTAACAAACGAATTGCTAATATTTGGAATTCTATTTTAGCTAATGCAAGGCGTCTACTTTGCAATATTGGGCCAATATTGGGTATATTGGAATTCAATTCGTAGCAAATATTATCCCAATGAACTATGCTACTAGAAGTTTTATACTGTCTTCTATTGTCGATAACGACAGATGTTTCGATTTTTCTCTCTTTCTAGGCTGCTTCCGACAATTGGTTAACAAGATGGCGGCAAGAGATGTTGCCATCGTCGAAGGACAACGTGCCATCAAGCCCGATTCAAGATGAAAATGATCAAGAGGTCCAACGAAGGATAGACAAGCCACTGGCTAAATCCATCTCGCAAAAGGATAAATTAGGAGAACTCACGAAGTTGTACAAATCTCAAAACGCGAATACCACTGGCAACACGGCGTAAATATGGCGTTTCGATGTAAATAGCATTCGCGAAGGTGTCGTATAATAATAATGTATTTTAGTTTACCTTTTTGTTATAATTGTGCGTCATCGACATGGCGACAATAAAATCCGCGCATACAGATTGCTGGACAAAGTGCGACAGTTATTTCCTCCACATGCATTCTCTTTGTAGTTTCGAAAATCATCTTTAACTATAAAAAAGACACATTCTTAGGTTTGTGTTCCAAAACATCCTTTTTGAAAAAAATTTTATTCAATATCTATAGTTTACGTTACATGTACTGTAGAGTATCGAGTAAAGTTTTCTCAAAAAGAACGTTTTGGAATGCAACCTAGATTATAAAACTAAAATTCGGACATTGTTCTCGATAAATTATGATTTTAGCTGATGACATTGTTTAAATCTCCAAACTTTTGGATTACATGGCGCCATCTGTCAGCGGCGTACAAAACTACTCCGCTCACTAACAGACAACAGGCGTCATCTAGCGGTGTAAGCGACAAACCGCTACCGTCTAACGTGAATTTGAATGATACTTTCAGTTATGGCGCCATATAACGCAAAAGTGCGTAAGATATCATTGCGTTTTGTCGAAATCATTTTGTGCTGTGACTTATTTATGTTCATCTTTGACAATGTTATGAAAATCAGCGTTCTCACCGGTTGGGCGACCGCGGTAGAATTAAACGAGCGAGAGAAATCGCGTTGAAAAGTCAGGATACAGAAGTTTGCCGAGACTCGAAATTGCAAATTGCATTTCTTCCCAGGACAGCGCTCTGTGATTCAATTCACTGCGCTCAGTTGAGTCGAAAACAAGGCTCCTGCTATCTCGATGGATGATCTACGCGTGAACATGCACGTAGTTGTCCTCGCGTACGACGCGCGGCGTTCGCGTGCCCGCATCCGCGTCCTGTCTCTCTCTCTCTCTCTCTCTCCCCGTGTGGCCGCTGTCAGAGAACCGTCGACGCGAGGTGAATCCGGTTGTGTCGTGTCGCGTATTCCGCGTCCCCAATCGCGTTTCACGCACGTACACGCACACACGCGACGAGCGGGTGCATGCGCGATAAAAGCGGCCGCGGTTCGCTCCGGGCTAGGAATTTTGACAGCGCTCTCGCTCCCGTCTCTCGTCTCCCGACGCGACAATCATGGACGAGAGACGAAATAATCGCGAGGTGGTGACGGTGCTGTTCCTGTGCGTGTTGTGGTACGTGACATCCAGCAGCAGCAACATCGTCGGCAAAATGCTGCTGTCCGTGTTCCCGTATCCGATCACGGTGACGATGGTGCAACTAACCTCGATCACCGTCTACTCCGGGCCGTTCTTCAACCTGTGGGGCGTTCGCAGGTACACGTCCAACATCACATGGAGCTATTATCTGCGGCTGATCGTGCCCTTGGCGCTGGGCAAGTTCCTCGCGAGCGTGTTCAGCCACGTCAGCATTTGGAAGGTGCCAGTCTCCTACGCTCATACTGGTATGCGAAGCCTCTGTCAGATTAGATATATAAGACGAAGGATGAGATCGCGACGGATTGAAGATCGAGACGAGTCGACCGATTTCGCCTCGTCCTATGTTGGCCAAATACCGATTTCCGATCCGCAACCCTCAGTCTCCGATAACTGTCAAACACTCCCATATCTATCAAAGATCTAACACACACTCTGACACAGAAGAGTGACACGTGCGTGACCACGCGTGACTGCTCAAGACCGCCGATGTCCTTGCCTTCAATAATGATGGTTTCGTTATGCATTAAACTTATCTTACAGTTATTATGTGGTAGGAGAATACTTATCTTACAGTTATTATGTGGTCTGCGCAACGGCGTGTAACGATGTTCGCATTATTGTCGTTAGAATAGGTCTGCTCGCGGAAGAAGAACTTCCGCACTGATGCAATAAGTTAAAGTGAAACTAGAGATCTGTCCTTTTTAGCGGAACTAGGTTAGAGTGAGACAAATATATTTTGTTTCATTTCAACGTATTACACCAACTTAGGCAGCTGAACAGAAAAGAACAGATCAAAGTATACTTTCTTCCACTCTAGATCTGCTCGTTTTCAAAGAATTCCTGAACTATAAGTGCAATAAGTTAGAGTAAAAGAAAGTATACTTCCCTAGTAGCACAGTATTGGTTACATTGGCAAATATTATTTTTATTTCATTTACAATCAATTATTTTATTTATAACTAATTTTGGTTATATATTGGCTATATATTGGCCAATATAGCCAATATATAGTCAATATTGGTTACAAGTGAAATGTGAGTAAATTGCCAATATTGCACAAGTGATTGTACAGTATTGACATACATTGAGAGTATATTGAGTCAATTTAACGCAATATGTAGCCAGTATTGGTAACAAATAAATTGTTAATATTCAGAATTCTATATTGGCTATAAAATGCAAAGTACTACTTTACAGTACTACTTTGTAAAGTACTACTTATTGTAAAATATTACTTTACAATACTTGACCAATATTAGGTATATTGGAGCCCAATTTGTAGTCAATATTGCTCAGATGAACTGTGTTATTAAAGTTATTTTATTCAAATTTCTTGCAGTAGTGCAGAAATTTTTCAAAAAAACGCACAGACCTTCTGAATTTACTGTACTGGTGTGCACTAATTCAGAAGTTCTTCGAAAACAAACAGACCTGGGGCCGATTCTTCGAATATCTTAACACGCTAATAGTTAAATCAAATGTCTGTCTTTGTCTAACTTGAAGGAAAAGCAAAGACAAACGTATGGTTTAACTGTTAATTAAACCAAGAAGAAGTTGGAAAAATCGGCTGTAATATTGTAAAAAATAGACGTTTTGTATTACACAATATTTTTAACAAATACTTCAAACTGCGCGAAAACACCATTGACGACAATGAAACAATGCATTCTTCCGGTTAATAACATCTTTGCAACGAGAGACGTTGAAAAAGAATCCGATACCTTCGATTGTGACAGCGATATGCTTGATAACACGGTATTCTCGAGTTACACTCTGTGGCTTCTTGGCAAGGTGTCATATCGTGTGAACTTTCTGAAAATATATTGCTCGCATTCGATGACGCGAGAAATATATGACGAATGTCTGAGAAAAATTTGCATCTATATCGGAGCGAACGTAACGTTAGCGAATTGTCACGACATGGATAACAGAGAAGATAAATCGATTGTTACAAAGTAACGAATCGATCAGCGAAATGAATTTGTCACGAGATAATTTAGGGGCAATTTTTCCAGAGAGGGAGTACATTGAGAGCGAAAGTACCTGAAGAAATAAAAACGAATATATATTCGAGTATCAATGATACATTTACTAAAATCTAAATAGAATTTTAATAGAATAATTAAATACAATTTAGAATGCAATTAACAAAATTTAAATACAATTTACAAAATAGAATAATTAAATAATAATCTAGTAAAATTGAAGTAAAAACAGTTGCTTAGGGGAGCTAAGGTTTTAAGGAAATATATATTTTCCTATTTAAAGAATGTTTTTTCTCAGTATAAAAATATGTATAAATAAATATGTTAATAGTACCTAAAAAATAAATTTTTTTATTATTTATATTTTTTTATTACTCTCTCTCTCTCTCTCTCTCTCTCTCTCTCTCTCTCTCTGTTTCTCTCAGTGTAACTTAAAAAATTAGATTTAAGAGAGATTATTATGTTAAATTTTAACTCTGTTCTCTGACAATGTGCTTGATGTGTTTGGGACAGAGTTTCAACTGAAATCTAAGCTTAAACTGTTGAAAAATCGGCACATAGAGTATCCCAGTTCTTTCGCATTTTATTCTCGTTTTGAGAACCAAAAGGCGAGAATAGGTTTTCCTATTCAGCATGAATACACTCAGCACTCGAGCACCGCTGATGCTTCTATTTTAGCGTTATATATTAACGGAAGTTTGGCTCTGTCCCAGTGAAGGCTACAATGCCCCTCTTCACGGTAATCCTGTCGAGAATTATACTGCGGGAACAGCAGACGTGGAAGGTCTACCTGAGCCTGGTACCAATAGTCGGCGGTGTCGCAATCGCCACGCTCACGGAACTTAGTTTCAACATGGTCGGCCTGATAAGCGCGTTATTGTCCACCATGGCGTTCTCCTTGCAGAACATCTACTCTAAGAAGGTATTATTCATGCGGAAGATATTCATGGAAGTAGAATCGAGCCGCGTGAGTCGATTCTACTTCCATCAATATCTCAATTATACTCCTTCGGGTATCGCCGAAAGATCGCGTCTTCATTCTTCGTTTCTTTCGGTGTGTGTCAACAATGTCGCGAAATATGCGCAAGCTTTTCCTTGTTGTGAGAAAAAACAAACATTTGCAGACAGCGCAAACCTCCGAAAGAAGTCTTGAAGATGATTCAATAATGTTGTATTTTTCTTATATAGATGTCTTTTAAATATAAGACGTCTTTTGGAAATTTGTGCTATCAGGATCGTGCGATTTATCAGCGCATTATTGTTCTCCCATATTCGACTTGCGAGAAAGATACATCGTCCTTTCGGCTCTCGGAGGCGACAAATGTCTGAAACGTTGCACGCGACTCTTCGTCCACAGGTGCTGCACGACACCGGGGTACATCACCTGCGACTACTGCACATACTCGGCCGTCTAGCTCTCTTCATGTTCCTGCCGTTTTGGCTGCTGTACGACCTGCGCAGTTTAGTGTACGATCCGGTGACGAAGACGTCCGTGGAGATGAGCTATCACACGGTAGGACTGTTATTTTTAGACGGTATACTGAACTGGCTGCAAAACATAATCGCGTTCTCCGTACTGTCCATCGTGACACCTCTAACGTACGCGGTGGCCAGCGCGAGCAAACGCATATCCGTGATCGCGGTGACGTTGTTCGTACTGGGCAATCCGGTCACGTGGCTGAACATGTTCGGCATGACCATGGCGATACTCGGTGTGTTGTGCTACAATAAGGCCAAGTATGACCAGAGACTGAAGAATCAGAGGAGCACAGTCTTGCCCAACTATTACAATTCGCTTCACAACGGCAACAACAACTCCTTCATGGTAAACGGATACGTCGACAAGAAACATCAATTATACGCGGTCTAGTCTCAATTGATTGCTCTCCCGTCTCTGACAAGTTCACGTGAGTTCTCTCGTCGTCGAGAAGTCCATTTTTTTTTTTCTTTCGCAATTTGCGAATCAGTTACGTTTTCGCGAGACAAGATATCGTGCGACTTTTGGTGACATTTCAGTTGGCCAGGTACAAAGAAGAGGCTCATATGGACGAAACTAATGACATATATATATAGAGTTATTTATATATATATGTATATATATATATGTATATTTAAAAATGCTGCTGATAAGGGTGATTTACATTCTTCGAGTTCGGCGCGAGACTCGTCGTCACCACAGCTGAATTCTGTATTTTCGTATCGATGAGGTACTTTATCGCACGCGAAGTGCTCGGTTTCATTCGGCCGTGGATTCAGTTCAATCGCGATCCTCGAAAACCGTACCTGCTGGTAAGGTGTGATTCGAAATTACGATTTCTCAACGCAGCTGATTGCTGGCCCAATTAGCGTTAGTCGGTGATCAGTAGCCAGTCGGTGATATGACTACATTCCTCGAGACATCGCGCTGATTGTTGACGAGAATGTACTGTATTAATTATTTTTCACGCGCTCAAACTGTCTTCGCGTTTCCGACGCATTGACGATGTTCGTCGATGTGATACGACGTCGACCGTGTTGCGCGTACGCGAGGCACATCATACACCGTCTAATGCCTGTCTTTCTACCAACTTTTGTTAACTCAGCCGTCTGGCTATTCCAACGGAATTGACCAATCACATTTGTCAGTAGACTAACGAGAAATGCGATTGATCAATTCCATTATACTGAGAAAAAAATTACTAAATTTCAAAAAACGTTTGTTTGGATACAACTGTTAAAAAAATTACTAAATTTCAAAAAACGTTTGTTTGGATACAACTGTTAAAAAAATTACTAAATTTCAAAAAACGTTTGTTTGGATACAACTGTTAAAAAAATTACTAAATTTCAAAAAACGTTTGTTTGGATACAACTGTTAAAAAAATTACTAAATTTCAAAAAACGTTTGTTTGGATACAACTGTTAAAAAAATTACTAAATTTCAAAAAACGTTTGTTTGGATACAACTGTTAAAAAAATTACTAAATTTCAAAAAACGTTTGTTTGGATACAACTGTTAAAAAAATTACTAAATTTCAAAAAACGTTTGTTTGGATACAACTGTTAAAAAAATTACTAAATTTCAAAAAACGTTTGTTTGGATACAACTGTTAAAAAAATTACTAAATTTCAAAAAACGTTTGTTTGGATACAACTGTTAAAAAAATTACTAAATTTCAAAAAACGTTTGTTTGGATACAACTGTTAAAAAAATTACTAAATTTCAAAAAACGTTTGTTTGGATACAACTGTTAAAAAAATTACTAAATTTCAAAAAACGTTTGTTTGGATACAACTGTTTGTGTAAATTAAGTAATTATTTTCTAAAATTAAATAAAGAAGTTTTAAATATAAATTTCTTTTTAATTTTAGAAAATAATTATTTAATTAAATTATTATTTAATTTAAACAAATATGTTCACAGTTGTATCCAAACAAACGTTTTTTGAAATTTAGTAAATTTTTTCTCAGTGTAGAATAACCAACCGGTTAACCAAAATTGATAGAAATGGACATAAATCGTTTAATCAACTGCGCAACGTAGAGTACATGTGTCGCGAGTCAGACACGTTTAACACAATCCCAGCTGCGTCTGGTGCTCGCCGTTTACGCGGTATCGAAGCGCATCGAACGCGCTTCTTCGCGGAAAGCGAAAACAAGATAGATGAACGACGAAGATTCAAACGGGATCGTTTGTTACAACCTTTTCACGTTTTCATGCCGCTATTCATCGTGGTTTATCGCGGATTCACCGGCGCTTCAGACTCTTACCGGGTCGCTCTTTTATTTAGCAGTTTAAGATGGAACAGTTCCATTGTATTGTTAATTGTGAAAAGAAGGCGCCTTTCTTGAACGAAGCTCGGACTTCGACTGAACGCAAGCGCATTGGACGAGGTCAACGCGGCCGATTGTACAGACTACAGACTCAGGTGTTTTTCTCAATTTGGTTTATATGTGCCGTATTGTTAGCCCGTTATGGGACAGAGAGACGCAAAAATTTAGATGTGTTCTAAATGCCGACGTTGTACACGAGTGCGCGCGCGAATCGAATCGAGCATGGAGGTGTGCGTGACACCGTATGTTTTGTGTGCGTGCTGTGTGCGTGTGAGTGAGACTCGTGTGCAGGAGAGCGTGTTCTAGCTGAAACCAATCTATACATTTATTTTTATAAATAAAATACACGTGTGTACAAAAATATATCGGAAGCGTTCGCTGTCGTTCGACCCATGCTATTGACGCTCGCGAATATGTCAAAGACTGCAGCCGCCCTTCGAAAGTGGTATTCATAGTTCGATCTGAACTCACCTCAAGTTTATCTCAAGATGTTAGGTAGCCGATAACACTTCGAGCTCGTCTGCAACACGCGTAGCAAGCTTGACGCGCGCATGTTGGAATAAGAAGTACAAACAATTTATCTCGTTTACATCTATGCTCTGAATCCCTTACACCGGAACTATTTTTCTCCAGTGAGAGAAGTCAATTTAAGAGAAATGCTTCCGATGGCAAGGGAGTCAGAGTATAGACATGGGCGAAACAAATCATTTTTATTAAAAAACAAAAGAACTCCAAAGATATAAATCAAAAATAAAAAAATAAATGTGTGTATATTATACATACATATGTACACTGGTGCGTATTGTTGGGAAATAGATGAGAACTTTCACCTATTGGTGAAAGTTCTCTAATGAAAGGCTAATAGGAGTTCAGGCACAGTAATTTTAATGTTATAAAACCTAAGGCGACGCGAAATGCAGATTATTATGTATTTCGCGTCGCCTTAGATTTCGCGAAGAAATAAAAATGATTAAAATAAAAAATAAAAAGATAAATGTTTGTATTGTACAAACATATATGCACCGGTGTGTATTGTTGGGAAACCAATAGGTGAAAGTTCTCTAATGAAAGGCTAATAGGAGTTCAGGCACAGTAATTTTAATGTTATAAAACCTAAGGCGACGCGAAATGCAGATTATTATGTATTTCGCGTCGCCTTAGATTTCGCGAAGAAATAAAAATGATTAAAATAAAAAATAAAAAGATAAATGTTTGTATTGTACAAACATATATGCACCGGTGTGTATTGTTGGGAAACCAATAGGTGAAAGTTCTCTAATGAAAGGCTAATAGGAGTTCAGGCACAGTAATTTTAATGTTATAAAACCTAAGGCGACGCGAAATGCAGATTATTATGTATTTCGCGTCGCCTTAGATTTCGCGAAGAAATAAAAATGATTAAAATAAAAAATAAAAAGATAAATGTTTGTATTGTACAAACATATATGCACCGGTGTGTTGGGAAACCAATAGGTGAAAGTTCCCTAATGAGGGGCTAATAGGAGTTCAGACACAGTAATTTTAGTGTTATAAAACCTAAGGCGACGCGAAATGCAGATTAATCTGTATTTCGCGTCGCCTTAGGTTTTATAGCACTAAAATTACTGTGTCTGAACTCCTATTAGCCTTTCATTAGGGAACTTTCACCTATTGGTTTCCCAACAATACACACCGCTGCACATATGTTTGTACAGTACATACATTTATCTTTTTATTTTTGATTTTAATCATTTTTATTTCTTCGCGAAATCTAAGGCGACGCGAAATACAGATTAATCTGTATTTCGCGTCGCCTTAGGTTTTATAGCACTAAAATTACTGTGTCTGAACTCCTATTAGCCTTTCATTAGGGAACTTTCACCTATTGGTTTCCCAACAATACACACCGCTGCACATATGTTTGTACAGTACATACATTTATCTTTTTATTTTTGATTTTAATCATTTTTATTTCTTCGCGAAATCTAAGGCGACGCGAAATACAGATTAATCTGTATTTCGCGTCGCCTTAGGTTTTATAGCACTAAAATTACTGTGTCTGAACTCCTATTAGCCTTTCATTAGGGAACTTTCACCTATTGGTTTCCCAACAATACACACCGCTGCACATATGTTTGTACAGTACATACATTTATCTTTTTATTTTTGATTTTAATCATTTTTATTTCTTCGCGAAATCTAAGGCGACGCGAAATACATAATAATCTGTATTTCGCGTCGCCTTAGGTTTTATAGCACTAAAATTACTGTGTCTGAACTCCTATTAGCCCTTCATTAGGAAACTTTCACCTATTGGTTTCCCAACAATACACACCGGTGCACATATGTTTGTGTAATATACACACATTTATCTTTTTATTTTTGATTTAAATCATTATTATTTCTTTAATCTACGCCAAGCTTACTACGCGTACTGTAGAGGAGCCTTTGTAGCATCTTAAAATTAATTTAAGACGTTTTTAAATGTAATAATAATATAATATTGTTACTAAAACTTTTTAAATATAAGATATATTATATTATTATTATATTATTAGTAATATAAAATAATATTATTTTAAATACGAGATCGAACTCGATGGATACACCGCTTTTCGAGAAGCGACGGCGCGTTTTCGTTTGATCCCTCGGAACGACGGGCAGAATCAAGTCGCGTCGTTGAGGGAGACGGTGCGTTGCGCGGTGAATTGCTCTCGCCATACCGACCTACAAAGTCTTCACGATGTTCTGCGGCGACAACGGTCTCGCTACCGTCAGATCCAGACGCGGTCCGGCTGCTGCGATCAGCGGCACGGCCAAGCAGCAATCGCAGTCTTCCGTGCTGGCTTCGTTGACGCGCAGGATCCTATCGTACGGCCGTAGAACACCGTCGCAGGGTCCACCAGGCCGCAAGCGATTTATGTAAACGCCACGCTCGTACAAACCGTCCGACACGGAGAAGCCGAAGTCCTCGTAGACCGGGTCCTTGTGTAGTGACACGTGCACTATCTGCTGAGCCCTGTTGTCGGAGCCGTTGCGCTCTTGCGGCCTGAGTGTCGAACAGAGAAGAGGGCAAGGCGATATTGAGTGTGCAGTGCGAATTACTGTTATCGAATAAATTGACCAAAACTAAAACCGGTTTAGTAACACCGTCTCTCAATCTACCACATCTGTATGAACATTATAAGACTGATTCAATAATTTCCGATATTGTAATACTAATGTTACACACCGCATCACATAAACAATTGTGCCAGAACTATACTACATACAACATAGTTACAATAATATAATTATTGCAATGCAGTTGTGACAATATAATTGTTATAACTGTATATGTGAAACTAGTGATTGAAATATTAAGAATCATCAAGTTAGTCTTATATTGCTCGCACATCAACGTGAGTTATGTCTGTATAAGTGTTATTGAATCGGTTTTCGGCTACTTGTGTAAAAAACATAGTTATTGACATAGTTGCGGATTATTATCAATTAAACAATCCTTGCCCCGGATAAGACGGCATCGATAGATCCAGCTGCCCGCTGTCAACGGAAGCGGTGTCCCAGAGTCTCAGTATCTCCGGCATGGTGCCGCTGCCCTCTCCCAATTCGCCCCAGGAGTCCACCGCGCTGTCGACACTGGGTAGACTCTCTCTGGCCGAGCGCAACGCACCGCTGGAGAATTGCGGTTGAACCGTGTCACTTCCTACGCTGGACTCCCTGCAATAATCCCTGTAAAATTTCCTTTTTCGCAAACGCGATTACCAAACACAGACACACACACACACACACACACACACACACACACACACACACACATGCGTGCGGTAAAAACGTATTTTAACCCATTAAAGGCCATAATTATTTCACAAACATTGTCACCTCTATAAATATATATTAATGAAAATGAGATAATTGAAAACAAGAATAAAATTATATAAAATTATTAATGATGTTTATTCTGATTAATCTATTATTCTGATTCATATACTAATTTTATTCAGTGTGAAAAAAGAGCATTTCATAAATGGTACATTTTATGGCCGTTCATGGGTTGAAAACATTGTGACCTTTCCGCAGATTACATTCTTGTAGCGTACCTTGTTTCCGGGTTAGGATCCGGCTTCCTAACGGTTAGTGCGACGACCGAGCTGCCGGGTCGGTGCAACAACTGAGCGGCTTGACGCAGGTCGCCGGGGTCCAGTTTTTGCCCGTCGATCGCGAGCAGCCTGTCGCCCGGCGCCAGACTGCCCGTTCTGTAAGCGAGCGAGCCTCGACGGACCTCCGTGATCACCAGGTCCTCGTTCACCGTGAGGCCTAGATCAGGTTGACCGCCGAGTGGCCTCGCCACTCTCACTGTGAACACTCCGGAGCTCGGTACTACAGGTCCGCCCACTTTGTACTCTATTACCAGCTCGATCTATACGCGCGTGTTGAGAAAGAAGAGAGGAAAGCGATTACTGCGAGTAGGACACGTCGTCTTACGTTTCGCGAAAGGAGGAAGCTCTCACCATCTGCGAGGTCTCCAATACGTTGGCCACTTCGGCCGGCTGCAGGTCGCGCAACATTCTGCGGTTGATCGCGATGGCTTTGTCGCCGGGCAAAAGGACGCCGCTGCGTTCCGCCGGGCCACCCGCTTCCAGCAGACTCACCACATAGTTGACGCGGTCCTCCGCTGGCTTGAGAGCGAGCCCGAAGCCCCGATGATCCGGCCGCAGGACCACGGTTAGGCTCTCCTTCATCTGCAATGTCTGACTCGAGTTTTGCTGTGCCTGCGGCTGCGCCCGCCTCTTCACCGTCCTCGCCGACGCGCTCGGCGGTCGCGGCAGTATCTGCAGCCTGGCGATGCGGCAGCTGTCGGAACTGTTCCGCAGCAGCTTGGCGGCGGTTACCGCATCTTGGACAGGTGTATCGTCCACAGCTAATAGGCGATCACCGGACTGCAGGGCGCCACAACGGTCCGCGGTGCTTGCCGGACGCAGGCTTTCGATGTAGACGCCGCTCGGAGTTTCCCTCACGGTTAATCCCAATTCACCTATGCACGGGGAAAATATTTTAGTAGAAATTGCAGAAAAATCTTGTGATGTCAAACATTTTTGTAAAATTATTATATAAAATTATATAATATTATTGATATTCTTATATGATATTATTATATAAAATTATATAATATTAAATTATATATAGACAATTTTTATACTGCAAAATAATTATTGTAATTACTTAGATATCTTTCGTATCATATATTCGACAGATCATTCAGCTAACTATAGCAATTTGTACTACAATGTTATGTACAGTCCAGCTTTGCAAAAGATATGTAATATTAATGTAATATATTTTCCACAATATTTTCTTCGTGTATACATTATTCAAGTTAACCAAGCCGTGCTTGGTTATATACATGTTTACATACATGATCCTAATCCTGCTTTAATTTTGTCTTTTAGATAAATAATACGTTCATTGACAACACAGATGTCGGATAGATAGAAGAAAGATGACTCAACGAGACGTTTCACCGCAGAGATCATCGATACCTGAGAGACCACGCTCCAGTTGAACGAGCAACGGACCGGAAGTGGCCGCGCGCGCCTCCTCCATGTTCGCCACGTCGTACTCGATAGTGAGGGACGCGACAGGTGCGTCTGAGCTTCGTCTGAGCGCTCTTTGCGCCTCCGCCAAGGTAAGACCTCGCAGCTCGGTGTCGTCTACCGCCAGCAAGCGATCACCGGGTCGGACTCTGCCCTCCTTCGCGGCCGGGCCATCAGCCTTCACTCCTGTCACTACCAATGCCCGCGATACGCCACCACGAAGGGTCACACCGAGACTGCCAGCCTCACGCTCTACTCGCACTTGCGCGACCTTCGATGAAACGCTGGAGGGCGACGACACGATCGCGTTCGCGTCCTGGTCGTCCAGTAGCAGGAAGCTGTGCGGATGGTACTGCTGTGCGGCCGTCTCTTCCGCTCTAGTTGAATCGGAACTCGCGGACGTGGCGACGCTGCCCGGCCTGGCGCGGCTCTTGTGCGAGCGCATGGTCGCCAGCCTCAACGAGCTGAACATCCTCGTCGTTTTCCGTTTTTTCTCCTCCGACGTGTGAGTCGTGATACGCGTATATACGATGTATGTATATATATATATATATATATATATATATATATATATATATATATATATATAATGTGTGTATATGTGTATACGTGTGTGTATGTGAGTGAGATTCGTGTCACCCGCCTCGAATCCCAGCGAGGTCGATGTTGTCCGGAGAGGACGACGACTCTGCACGCGGTCGTTCCACCCTCGCTCTTTGTCTCGTAACTTCCTACTAACTGTAACTTCAAATTTCGCGAGTCACTCGTTCGCGTTTCGTACGGGAACTCGACCCGAGGACGATGTGGCTAGTGCCTCTTCTCTCAAAACGCGATCGCGGTGATGCGACGACACTCGCAGCATCGCCGACGCACGGTCGTTCTATGTTACGTAGCGCATAGCCGCGAGTTCAACCATTCGGCCACGAGCACGCGCATATACACACACACACACACACACACACACACACACACACACACACACACACACACACACACACACACACACACACACACACACACACACACACACACACACACACACACACACACACACACACACACACACACGCGCGTACACACAAGAGGAACATTCATACGGTGCTTCCTTGTTCTCTCGTTCGAGCAACCGACGAACGCACCCGCAACGCAGTTCGTACTCGCGTACACGCGCGTCTCGGAGTTAATTGGGAGAAACTGGAGGGTCCCGACTGCAGAACGAGGAAGAGAGAGGAACAGGGAAAGAGAGACAGAGAGCGAACGATGCATGCGCTTATGAGATGCGGATAATCGCGATTGCACAATTCGCGACGTTTCCTTTTGCTCGCGGGGTAAACAGCCGGGGCTGCACGCGTCGCCTTTGTCCGCGACGATCTGGCGGCGCGGCAGCGTCGGGAGCGCGCTTCTTGCCGGACGAAACTCCTTAGAACTGAGCGCAGAACTGTAACGACTCGCGCGATGCGTCTCAAAAATAACTCCTCGATATAGGGCCGCATCGCCGCGCAGACGAGCGGATCTATTTATACGATCGACACCCGCGCTTACGCATCGTGCGCGGACGTGTGCGGCCCTGACGGCCACCCCGCGCTAGCACACGCTGATGAGTAATGTCAAGCAAGACGGTGTTTCTCCCTAAATCCTGGTCCCGATGACGAGCCCGCACGATCGAGCGACGTGTCGAAGGAGAGCACGTTGCGCACCGATCAAGCTCGATTCCGTGGAATCGCGCGACCAACGCACATCGCCGCGGCGATATCGATCGATCTGTCTCTCATTCTCTCCCTGTCTGATCCCGGCGTGTGTAGAAGCACGGAAAAGAAATGGAATAGATACATCTTTATTCCTTTTATTCCTCGGGGAACATCGATTTCTTTACAAAATACGGCAATGTGTCTATATCAAGTAATTATACAAAAACACTGGGAACTCCTTAATTCGAATTGAACGGTGCGAGTCTTTGGCGATCGCGCTGATTTCGCTCGAGCATCTCGGGTCCGTATTAATAGCCATTACTTGAAACTCGTCCCAAGTGAGATATTCATAAATTTCGAGTTAGATTTCAGTTGTTTACTTGAATCATACAATATACGTGACATTGCATTCACTATCGCGATTCAGCTGTGAGATTTCAAATTCAAATCTGAGCATCTCACTTCAGAGGCAAGTTTTTTGAAGTAACGACCTCCAAATTCAAATCTGAGCATCTCACTTCAGAGGCAAGTTTGAAGTAACGACTAATTAATACAACTCTTTGAGTGATCTTCTCTCTTTTGTTAACGCGAAATCGGGAGAAATCCGGAACTCGGGAGTCTCGGCCGATCGAATCGGCTTGGCACGCGCGGCATCACGGATTAACTCGAACGAATGATCGAGATTTAGACTTTCAGTTTGAATTCACACGCGAGTGTTCGTTCGTGGCGTTCGCTAGGATCGCCAGGTTCATTCGCAGATTCAGAGACCATTGACCGAACCTCTTAGACAGCCGCTTTTTGCCGCCGCCGCCGCCTCCTACAACTTCCCCCTCCTCTTGTGTATCTCCGATCTTAATTTCTCGCTCTTTGGCGCCGATCTCTTCGTCTCGCTTTTCCCTATTAGTCTGCGTCTCTCATATACGCGCCTTCGCCTTGCTTGACGATCGGCTTCGTGGAAGTTGCACGTCGTCGTACGCGGCAACTGCACTCAGAGAAAAAGACACGGAGGTGACAACTAGAACGTAAAATTAATGATTGCGTTCTGCAGAGGGAGCTGCTTTCTGCAACTGTTGTGAAACCTGTGAGTCTGATTGGCATACGCTCTTAGATTCCAGCCAAGAATGAGAACGCACACCAAGTAGATTTTAAGGCGAATTTTACAATAGTTACAGTTTTCTCTGCTGAACGTAGTCAGTGTGTAGTTTTAAAAACAATTTTGTGTAGCTGTTGCAACATCAGAGATGAATTGTTGCAAGGATTATACAGAGATCTTTTAATTCAGCTTTAGTTGCTAGAATTATAAAATAGTTTATTAAACTATATATATATAAATTTTCTTCTTAATTGTCATTAATTATCTATACAGTTGTCACCACTACTACATCTCTTTCTCTGAGTGTGCTGAGTGTAGCTTTCAAATGACCTTTGTTCTTGCAACATTCTCTCTCTTTATGCCTTGACATTTTCTTCGCTTCTGATTTAAGCGAAAAGAATATTCAGAAGCTGGGTCGGGATCGTTTCTTCGGCTCGAGTTCCTTATTAGTTAGATACATTCTCATTAATTCGGATATCTTCCTCAACATCGCGTCGCTTCTCTTCTTTTAGAAAATCAATCAACCGCCTGAACGCGGCGTTATTTCCTATCCCTTTCTCCGCGCGCGCTGTTTATATAGAGCCACGGTGACCCCGCGGCGATCTTACGACAGCCCATCACTTTCATCTCGGCGGATGTTGCTGAGTGCGCGGTTTGCCAATTCCTCGACGAGCTAAAGTTAGCGCGCGATGAGCGCGGAGCCAAGTGTGCACGAGAGAGATATAGGAGAATAAGGAAAAACAAATCGCGAGGCGCGATGGACGAAGGGGCTGAGCTACGTAAGTGAAAGAAAAAAGAAGAGCGAGAGAGAGAGAGAGAGAGAGAGAGAGAGAGAGAGAGAGAGAGAGAGAGAGAGAGAGAGAGAGAGAGAG